TTCTACTATTGATAATGAATAACTAATATGTGTTGTGAATAGATACAAACTGGAATTATCAATTATGAGGATTTGGTCTAAGAACAATTAATTTGTGCAAAATAATTTCAAAAATGTCTATCTTCAGTCTTCTCCTCTCTGCACCTCCACATAGGAGCAGCAGTATTCACGGATGCCGTTAATTAATTTGCTAGATTCAATAGTGATCGGTTGCATGGCATAGTATTAATTGTTTGATCGCAGTGAAAGTGCTCAGACGGTTCCATTTCATATCAAATTACTAAGCTCTAAAATATTTTTCAGAATATATTTTTTTATTTTTTGGTGTTTAGTTGTCGTAAAATATTTACGAAAAAAAAATATATTAAAATTTAACAAAAAAAACTTATCCATAAATTTTCGACAAGTTATGTTACATGCCCTACCTGATGGATTCGACCTCAATCTCGACGTAAACTTTTACCAAACACCGACAAAGTAAAAATAAAAGAATATTTTATCTGGAAAAAAAAAAAATTTTAAAAGAATATTTTATATGAGATTTTGATTTTTTTATTTTAATCAAGCATTAAAGTTATCATCTGGTATAAGATCACATAGAAAGGCTAAATTTCAGCTAAAGTTCCTCTGTACTGTATTCAGCCTAGGATGATCCACAGTTTATCATATAATGAGGCTTGAATGGTACTAATCCTCGTCATCTAATTAATACAATAACGTTAGTGTTGCAACATGCACACACACACAAAGTGACATTTAGATTGAAAATGAGAACAATAACCTCATAAGACCAGAAAATGGGAACTCTGGAGTCATCGGAAAAAGAAAATAACATGATTCTTCTATAGAATTTTTAGAAATTCCATTAAGTATATTAGTGTGTTCATGTAATTTGTTTGTCTCTCTCACCTCGTCTTTCTAGTTTTTACTAGTATGAAGTTTCCTTGGCTGCTTTTCTTCTACATCCTTATAGGCCTTCCTTCTCTGCTGATTTGGTCCATAACACATTGTAAATACATGGATTGAACACAACAAAGTTGCATTAATTCGTAGAGGAGACTTCAAATAAACTATACTGCCCAATACAAATTCCAATGGTAAGACGGCATCAAAAGCACTGCACGACGAGCTTTATCTTCAATATTGTTAGAAAAGAATTTGATTGAATATCAATGGTTAATAAATTCACGCCATAATTGGTCTTGCACTTTGCAGCAACCCTGGTGGCCACCGTAGCAATGGCAAATATATCATTCAAAAAGAGGAATCTGATGCAGATTTAATTTTGATACTTACATAAAGCAGTAGACAGTAGACACAAATCTAATAATATGACAAAATAAGTAAATAATTTATCTCACCACAAGCTATTTCTTTTTTCTTTTGGATAATTCAAAAAAAATTGTGTTTTGGTGGTGGCAAATGCCAAAAAGGTGGAGTCAAACTCAAGTTTTCCAAATTAATGGATTTTTATTAAATGTTGACTTGGACATGGAAATTTATTGTAAATTTTCTTTTGATTCCCAAATTGCCCATCCTATTATTGTTGTAAAATTATACAACTACCCCTTACCAACTTTACTAATTAAATTCACAATTATATATCTATATCTGGCCATTACATATCACCCTTTCTCTTTGATTTTTATTGCTTTTGTTTATATATTTTTTCCCCTGAATGTGTGATTTTTATTCAACAAATAAAACAAATAAACTACATGAAAAAAAACCTTAGAAATAGGACCAAATGAACATAAGTAGGAAGAATTAAAAAAATGTAATAAAATTAGTAATACAAATATAATGAAATCATCAAATAATCAGCACATAGACACACAATAGTAATGAATTTTCATAATAAAATAGGACAACTGACAATTAAAATTAATAGGACAGTTTTTTTTTTATTTTTTTTTATTTTTTTATTACAACTAATAGGGCAGTTTCAAACAAGCAATTATGCATTCCCAAAAATCTAATTGGACAAATATGTGACGTTACCGATTTTTCCGTTTTTCTAATTTCTGGAATTTATTTGACTTTCTAAATTATTTTAATCCTTGTCTCGTTTTGCGTGCCACGAGGGCCCCAAGGGGCGTTTTGGTCAATTGTTGAGCCGAGGGTTTTAGAAGAGTATTTTTTTATTCATTTTAAGTCAATTAGAAGCGACGGTATCATTTTTAGAATTTTTTGAGGTCGGGAACTTCTTTCTGCTTTCTCATCTTAAGTGAGGGGCGTTATCGGCATTTCATATGTGTATGTGTATATTTATACATGTATGTATGTGGTATTAGTGGTATTGATTGGAGGAGGATATTTTATGGCAAGGTTGAAGTTACAAAGGAGTTCAAGGGGCATTGTTGTCATTTTGACTCATGGAATAGTCTAGAGAATTCTAGAGACATGAGGTGGCTTCATTCTAGACCATTTCCTTCCCTTTTTCCTTTCATTTCCAGACCACTGCCACAAGCTCTTTCTTTCTCTATTTTCTTTCTCTTTCTCCATCTATATTGCTCTTTCCCTTCTCTTAAAGATTTGTTTATGCTAGAGAAGATTTGGTTTAAGCCATAGTTGGCAAATTGTAGACCATTGCAAGGGCTACGTCTTAGTACATGTATTGCAAGCTTTTGGTGGGATTTAAGTTTGGAGCTTGGAGCTAGAGTCACTATCTTGAGGTAGGGGAAGTTTAACTTACAATTCCTATGATTTTAGTGAGTTCTATGTATTTTCTTACATGATTACTTTGATGTTGTGAAACATGCTTAGTGTGTAAATTTTTGTTGTGATAATAAGCATGAGATGGTGTTGATTTAATTGTTGTGGGTTGAGACTATGATGGATTCTTATAATTGTGTCAAGCATGCAAATTTCTATATGTGAAATTGTGAAAATATGACTTACGTGTTTAATCTTTATGCTTGGATTTTTTTTAATATATTAATGATGTATATCATGACTTGTATGTTGAAGAACGGTAGCATGTTATGCATAAGCTTGGCATGGTGTGAATTGAGGGAATGAAGTTTTGATGTGGGAGAGAAGGTTGAGAAGTGAAGTGATGATTTGTGTTGTGAGATAAGGTGAAGTTATGAGGGTTTCGGTGAGATTGGGTTGCAAAGGAGAATGGGGCATTTACATTTTTACGCGTGATTGAATGCTATTATGAATTCACAAAATTGGTGTATGATTGTTATGCTTCATAACCCCATGATCCCTTTTCTTTGATTCCCATTCTTTGGTTGTGGCTCACGGGATTTTTAGGACTGTATTTTAGGCTTACTCTACTAGCTGTTGAGCTCACCCTATCATTATTAAGATTTTTCAGGGATTGAAGATGAGCCGGTGAATAATATGCATCAATGGATATCAATGTAGATAGGACTTCATTTTTTTTTACTTATACCAAAGCTATGTAAATTTTGGCCATAGAGGCCTTACTCTTGTATTTAATTCCTTTGAAAATTTGAATAAAATGAGACTTTTGTAATTCGGTCTTTAAATGATGTATTGGACTTGTATTTGGGAATGCAATTAAATATAATCTCACAAAATCCTTCTTGGTGCATTTTCTTGGAACGTGTGATGTATCATTCAAAATATTTATTACCAATATTGTTACCGTATTGGGTTTTGAATTGTATATAAATACGTACACGTGCAATGGTTATCAAAGTTGGTGTATATAGGACAGTGGGAATTGTCAGTGTGGATAACCCAAAACCAGTCGTGTAGCGTGAACCAGTCGACATGTAGCGTGAACCAATCGATGTATAGCGTGAACCAGTTGACATATAGCATGAACCAGTCGACGTATAGCATCCTGGCAGACAGATTGTCACTGTACACTTCCCAAACCAGTCGACGTGTACATCCCACACGTCGACCGGTATCTCGGCAGTGGGTATCATTACTGTTCATGTCCCAAACCAGTCGACGTATGAAGCATATACGTCAACCGATTTCTTTTCGTATGTAATTGCTATTTTAAATTCTTAAATTACACTTTAGTACCCAAGTGAGATTACACGTAATTATTTTATGACCCAAATAAATACAATAATTATGTTTTGACCACCGAAAAGACCCGGATCTTATTTTAATTATTATGTGATGCAAGTAAATGGCCATTTTACCCTCGGAGTCGCAATTTATTGAATTATGGCAAATTACCATTTTGTCCTTTTTGGACCTTGATATTTAAATTTAACGTGAAACGACTGTATTACCCTCGGAGGTTTATGAGACGGGCAAGGACCAATTTAATGATCCAGATCCATGAGGAGCTAGGTCGTTACAAAATAGCTTGCCAATGTTGAATCAACTCATGAATGGTGTGTCTGATGAATAGTTGTTCCCCTACCAAATTCATACTTCTAGTCAATTTTTCACTTATATATATATATACTCCCATCAATTTCTCATTGAAATTTCAACCCCTTTTTAGTATATAGTTGCAGTTACATATATATATATATATATATATATATATATATATATATATATATATATATATTTGGTCTTATAATATTGTCATACTTTTTACCTATTATTTTGATATATTTGTGATATGTAGAACTTTTCTCCCAAGAATCCTACAAGGAATCAATGGTTCTGCCAATCTAAGAGAGATGGAGAGAGAGAGAGAGCAAGGGCAATCAATTAAATGGGTAGTTGGGTTATTTCGCAATCTACAATTGAAGAATTAAAAGAAGATTTACAGGAAATTTTCATGTCCATGTCACCATTTCATAATTCTCCACTAATTTGGAAAACTTAAGTTTGACTTCATTTTTTTGGTATTTGACCACCAAAACACCATTTTTTTTAGAATTATCCCTTTTCTTTTTGTGCCGCTAGCTAATTCACATGGTTGATAATGGAATGGTTGATTTCCATTATGGAGTGAAAAAAAGATTTTTTCCACCATCAGGTTGAATGAAGCTCTCCGCATAAGAAGCTATATCCTTTAACCATATATGGATTCCTAGATCTTTACTTGTTTAGGTCTCAATATTACAAGACAGCATATGGCCCTCGTGGTTTTGTAGTAACAGTTCACCCCTCTTTCTCAAGCCTAGCAGCTTGGCAGGTGTGTCATGAAAATTACCAGTAAATCGTTTTGTCCAACAACTCGTTTTGCCACACTCCATTGTCCATATGTCCCAACACTTATCCAGATGATAAAATATGAAAAGATACAGTGATTCCCGTTCCCCCAAAATTGCTATTTTCGGACAACAATTTTTAACACCATCTAGCAGCATTACCTCTTCAAAAACTTCATCACCCATTTCGAAACGCACAAGCAGCAAATAACAACTACCCTCCCAAGTTTCCTTTATTGCAACCCAATAAGCAACCCCATTGACAATCGCAGGATTCTGATTAAATAAATAACATGAAGGGGCAACATCAATTCTTCTCCAAGAGTCAGTGCTTAGACTATAAACGTCAATTAGCAATTGATATTTGTAGGGTTTAATAATCTTATACACCAAGCACCAAATTTTCACAACCCTGTAGGCATTAACTTTGGGGTGGAACCCAAATGCCAGACAGATGCTATAAGAATCCAAATCGGAGTAGATAATTCGAGATTCTATATCTGGAGAATTTGGGAGGGTCTTTAGTTTTCCAAGTGATGGGTTCCATAAGTATATGGTGTCTGTCCATTCATTAGACAAGCATATGAGTCCATTACAGGAGCCGTGCATCCGTAAAGATTCTTCGCGAATGTGTGAGGGAAGCTGCGGCTCAAAATACTCGCTAAAAGATTCATCAAGACCAGATTTGGAGTAGCTGAGTATGAAATTTGTCTTTTGGCTTGAGGTTTTGAGATGTGCTTGAATAAAGAAAGGGTAAGTGATTAGAGAGTTCCATGATTTGCAGACTGACCTTAAGCGGAGTAGTGATTTTACCGAGAGTCTGACCAGAATCTGAATCAATATTTCTTGAGGGAGATAATAAAGATTGGAATTTGACTCTGCCTTGCCATTTTGTTTTGCCTTAGATTCGCTCCTGCCATGTGGGGTTAATCAAAACACCTGTGGACTCCTAGTCTTTATGGAATCGTGTTGGAGTCGCAGGTCAAGTTGGGTTAGGTTTGGATTTATATTATTATTATTATTATATAGGATTTCAACAAAGTATAGTAATTTTATGGAAATTAGATTTCAAAATGTTTAGAATGAATGGAATTTTAAAAGAATTAGGATTTGTTGGGATTTTATTGGAAATATTATAACATTGGCAAATTTCAAGGAAAAATGGAAGTATTTGAGGAAATTTGGTAACCGACAATTATTTGAGGAAATTTGGTAACTACTGTATATTACTCATCTTTAGTTAAAAGATAGGCAAAAGTACAAAAAAACCCCTGAACTATCCACTTTGTTGCAAATACCCCCTAAAGTACCAAAGTGTGCAAATACCCTCTGGGAGTCACCGGATCAGCTTTCCGGCCACTGTTGATTTGAAATGACCGAAATAACCTTACTTATTAAATTATATAAAAAAGAAAAAAGAAAAAAAAAAGGCTAATCGTGAAATATCAATTTTACCCTACTAAGTTAAGTTGCCCTAAAATCTCATTTAGCTGATTATGATAGAGAGAGACGCACAAAGAGTTAGAGAGAGATGGAGATGCAGATACGAACTTAGGGTTTCATACTGTGGGTTGAAGACTTTGATCGTATTCTTGTTCTGTTCAATTGTGCGCGACATTGTGTTGTTATTCTCTTCAATTGTGTGTTACATCGTGTGGTATTTTCTATTGGGTCTGTCCTGTTCACGAACTTTGGTTCAATTTTACAAGTTCTCCAAATTTGTAAGTGTAGATTCTGTTCTATGTCTTTATGTCGATTTTAAATGAATCTTATTTTTCATTTATTATGTTAATGGTTTTATTTTTGGGTTAATTAGTACGAATCGAATATTCGATTTCTAGGGTTTGTGAAAATCTGTTTTGACCTAGTATAAAGATCTCTTTTATGTATATATAATACATATGCATGCAGTCAATTATATGCAATTTTTTAGAACTTGGGAAATGTTTGGTGTAGGCTTTATGTTGATTAAAGAAGATAGACCACACTGACAATAGAGTTTATAGTCAATGACAGCGGTCCATGGCCTTTTTTCTTTTTTTTTTTTTTTGACCTTTATGTCTTCGTATAGTGATACACAATGGTCCATGTCTTGTGTTTGATGTCAGTTTGTTTCCTGCATTTTTAGACTGATGTCTTGTGGCAAATGTTTGATGTCTTGTGGTCCATGTCTTGTGTTTGATGTCAGTTTGTTTCCATGTGATCATTACTGCATTTTTGTATCTTCACATGCTCCATTACTGCATATTTCTTGTACTTGGGGTTTATTTATGCATATTGTTATTTTATTGCTTAGGTATAAGTATTTTTATTTGCTTAATTTTTTATTTTTTATGCCTAGGCAGTGTCTTTTGATTATTTTTTTATTTTTTGTACTTAGGGTTTATGCATATTGTTATTTTATTGCTTAGGTATTGTTATTTGGTTAATTTTTTATTTTTTGTACTTAGGGATTGTCATTTGATTATTATTATTATTATTATTTTTGTGCTTAGGGTTTGTGCAAATTATTATTTTATTGCTTAGGTATTTTTATTTGCTTAATTTTTTATTTTTTGTGCTTAGGGATTCTCATTTGATTAATTTTCTATTTTTTGTGCTTAGGGTTTGTGCATATTGTTACTTTATTGGTTAGGGATTGTTATTTGCTGAATTTTTGTTGACCATTGACTTATGTGTTTTGATTTGCTTAATTGAACAGAGAATGAATACTACCAGGTTGATTACATTGGAAGTACATTTTGGAGGTTATTTCCAATACACACCACTTAAGTTATATATTGGTGGTGAGGTAGACTTACTTGACAATGTTGATGTGGATTTTTTTTATCACTTTTTCATCTAAAAAAGGTGGCCAATAGGCTTGGGTTTGAAAAAAACTATGAGTTGTATTATAGGAATCCAATGGTGGCCAGTGATGAAGGAGTTAAGAAAATTAAAAAAGATAAAGATGTATTAGAATGCATTAATGCTCATAGTAGGTTCAGGTTGATGAAAATCTTTATAATTTCAAAAGGCAGTGTTGAGAATGAAAATGCTAAAAATGTAGAGGAAAGTTATGAGTGTATGGAGGATGGAATACAACCTGAAGTTGACATGCAATTTGATGATTCTAATTGGGATGATGAAATACTAGAATGGGCAACTCAGACTGAAAATGAGCTGAATGATGAATTGGAGCATGAATATGCTACTGTGGATGTAGATGTGGGTGCTAATATGGATGTAGATGTGGATGCTAATGTGGTTGAAGATGTGAATGCTGATGTGGTTAAAGATGTGAATACTGATGTAAATGAAGATGTGAATGTTGATGTAGATGAAGATATGCATGGTGATGTGGATGAAGATGTGATAACTGATGTGGATGAAGATATGAATGGTGGCATGGGTCAATACTCAGATATTGAATCCATATATTCACCAAGTGATGAGTTGGAAAGCTTATGCAGATCATCCTCTGAAGAAGATGGCAGTGACAGTGAAATGGATATGGTTCGAAGAAGGCATAAATTTAGGAATAATGTTATAGAACTTGGCAACAAATTTTCTTCACCTGAAGCATTTAAAGTGGCCTTAAGGGATGATGTTATTAAAGGAAAGTATAATATTAGGTTTGTGAAGAATGAAGGGAATAGAGTACCTGTTAGATGTTAAAAAAATTATGGGTGGAGAATTCATGCATTATTTAACTCAGAGGATGGCAGCTTCCAAATAAAGACTTTTAACTCAAAACATACTTGCAGTTACAATAAGCTTAATAGTCAAGCATCAGCCAATTATTTAGCAACCAAATACATGGGCACAATTAAGGATGAACCCACATGGAAACCATCTGCAATGAAGAAGGCAATTTTAAGAGAATTGAATGTTATTGTTTCCAAATACAAGGTTTATATGGTAAGGAAGAAAGCTAGATCACACATTGATGGTGACTATGGACTACAATTCTCAAGGGATAGGGATTACTGCCACCTTATTTAGAACACCAACCCTGGTAGTATTGCAATGACTATTGTTGATAGAGCAACACTTGATGACCCTGCCAGATTTGAAGGGCTATTTGTTTGCTTTGAAACAATGAAGAGAGGTTTCTTGGAAGGATGTAGGCCATTTATTGGATTGGATGGTTGCTACTTGAGGACATACACACCTATTATTTTCCCTATGCCTCTTAGAAAAATGACACATGAAGTTGCCACTGATCCCATACACCCACCCATAGTGAAGCCCTCATCTAGCAGATGTAAAAAGGTAAGAAAAAGGGCTGTTGGTGAAGTGAACAAGAAAAGTGGTGCAGTTAGCAGAAAAAAACAACTACTCAACTGCAGAAAGTGTGGGGCAAAAGGACACAATGTCAGAACTTGTAAGCTACTGGAGTAACACCTCAACCTGCCAAAAAAGGTACACCAGGTAGACCTAGACTGCCAGTTACTTTTGGGCTACCTGGTTGACTACCAGACACTGATGGAGTTGCATAAACAATGGCAAGAGGTATTACAACTGCAAGAGGAAGAGGCATTGGAAGGGGAAGAGGGGCTACAAGTGGTATTGGAGAAGTTGACACTATAAGTGGAGGTACTGATGGAGTTCCATCAACAATGGCAAGAGGTATTGCAACTACAAGAAATGCTGCAATAGAAAGAGGCATTGGAAGGGGAAGAAGGGCTGCAAGTGGTATTGGAGAGGTTGGCACTATAAGTGAAGGGACTGCAAGTATTATGGGAGAGGTTGGCACTGGAAGTGGAGGGACTGTAAGTGGTATGGGAGAGGTTGGCACTACAAGTGGAGGGACTGCAAGTGGTATGGGAGAGGTTGGGACTACAAGAGTAGGAGACATTGAAAGGGGAAGAGGGGCTGCAAGAACAAATGCAAGGCAACTGCAAGAGGTTATTGTTTTAAACCATCATAATCAATTAATTTAAATGTTTACTGTCATATTACTATTTTAAATATTTTATCATTTTGTTTTATAGGTGATGACAATACAATTAAAATATGGGAATTTGTTGAATAATTTGTCTTAACCATTATCATCAATAGATTTTAATGTCTTGTGGAGCAGTCAAGCATCCTCATCATCTAGGTATGTGAGAGCTTTTAAAAAATTTATTCTGGAGCAGTCAAGAACAGTTTATAAATGTTTTTAATCATTTTACTTTCTATTTTTTTTTTTTTCACAGGCCTACTACAATTGACCCAGGAGTTTAAGGAAATTTTGTGGTTTTGTACTTTTTGAAGTTCTTGGTACAGCTTTTTGTAAGTTTTTGGTGCACAGATATTGGTTTTCATCTTTTGGTATGTTGGTGGTGCACAGATATGGTTTAGATTTTTTTGGTATGTCGGTGCATAGATATGGTTTACATTTTTTTTTGTATGTTGGTGGTGCACAAATGTTTGGTTTTTTGAAATGTTGGTGCACAGATGTTGTTTGGTTTTTTGGAATGTTGGTGCACAGATTGTAGTTTTCTTTTATTGGAATGTTGGTGTACATATTGCAGTTTTCTTTTGTTGAAATGTTGGTGCAGAACTTATGATTTTGTATGGTTACGGCTATAGTTGTGGCTGATACTACTATAATTTGTATGGTTATGGTTATGGTAATGGCT